AGGCAATGCTTTCTACTATACGGTTTTATTTCTTTTATTTAGTTGTAATACATAAATAAACTAAAATAAAAGATTTATAAAAAAAAGAGAATAAGAAATAAAATTGGAAGTCGTTAAAGTCTATAGAGCTATTGGTTTCTGAACGGCTACTGGTGACTAGACTGCAGTATTGCATTTACAGTTTAATCTACTTACGTTAATAACTGTAAGTTAATCCTAGATCTATATATTATGTCGTGACCACATCGTAGAATTTATTACATCATAAAGTACTTGACTAATAATTTGTTAATTTTTACTGATTAAATGTCAGTTGTTATTATGAAAAGTGGTAATTTATAATATTGCGGTCAACTATTACTGACCATATAGACTATTTCAATTTGCAATGTCTTACTGTACGACTTAGTATAAAATGAGAATTATACTATTATCAAGTTGATCAAAATAGGTTAGGTTTTTAACTTAAAGTACAGATTTCTTTATTGAAATTATATTGCACTTTCTTCTTCCTTTTTCACATCATTATATTTTAAGAAAAAAATGTATTATTTATCGCCGTCATGACGTGTTTTATAAATAAATGTCAAGTTATAGGTATTACTTACATATTAGTGACATTAGTGCCGCAAGTTGTGAATAATCAAAGTACTTTACGGTATCACTAGAACATAGAGCGTATTACAAACGTAACAGTATGTTTAACTGTTTATATTATTATAAACATCTTTATTCATTAATTTGGCTAATTTTTATCCAGATATATTCATAAATGGCTACTATTATACACAACAAATGAACTACTGTTCGAACTGATTCTGCGTACTGGCAACGAAATATACTTATTATACATATTATACATTTATACCTTTGAAATGTTTTATGAATTGTTACCATTTTACAAAATGAATAAACTACTTTTTTTAATTTATTAATCCTGAGAACTGGCCACGACATATACTCACACCGTGATTCTATAATGACTCAGTAATGGAGTCATTTATTTATTTCTCCATTCAATGCGATCATTATCCCTTCAACTCAATACAGTTCCACGGATCGTGCAATCCTTTCAAATCTTCATGGAGGTACGACTGTGAGACACAGATAGCCTCCAGTCGGGCTCGGGGGAAAGTATTACGGGATTTATCGTGGAATGATGTTTTGAAATTGAAGGTTTTTCTTTCGAAATACTAAATCAATGGAACTTAGATTCTTTTAGTTATTCAATATTTCAATATCCGGTTTAGACATATTTATTGTATGTCCTTAAAGAGTATTGGATAGTCTACTGGGGTATACCTTTTTATATATTGTATTATTGTATTTCACTTAATCACCACACAGCACAATATTACCATATACAATTAATATATGTACAGTACATATATAAATGTCATCAATATTATATTTATGTATTTGGTATAAGTATTTATTTATATATAATAAGAAAACTTCTCGTTCACAACCTCAGACATCGACATCGTGGTACGTATAAATAAATAAAAATGTCCATACCATTAACAAAGAAAAACATATATAACATTAAAACATATATACATATATAACATTTTCTTAGCATTCTTTTGAATAAATATCTATTGTATTCTATGAATACAATTTTGATAAATGTCTCTTTGACAAGACTGCTTGCTGGTCGCTGGACATAACTAGACCAGGCAACGCAGTTGACTAGAGACGGATAAGATATATACCAAGACGAACCATATAAATTGTATAAATTATGTGTTATTCGCACACAAGATATTCCTTTATTCATTATTGAAGACAAGCTTATGGTCGTGCCTACTAGTAGACTGTTTAAGTGTGGTCCTTCAGCGTGACTGTTAAGGATGTCGTCGACTAGCAGACCGTTCAATAAACCTTTAGCGCATTATTCTGCATACACAGACGAAGGATCCTAATATTCCTGTTATTCGTCAACTGTTTATGTTTTATTATGACCTACAAACGCAAATCATTACATAGTATAAAACAAAGTCGCTGTCGCTGTCTGTCCATCCCTATGTATGCTTATCTTTAAAACTACGCAACGGATTTTAAAGCGGTTTTTTTAATAGATAGAGTGATTCAAGAGGAAGGTTTCTATATATAATACATGTACACCTGTTCGAGGTCGGGGCGAGTAGGTAGTTTTATATAAAGGTATAATAATATTGTTGGAGCTTTTGTAGCTCGAATAATACAAATATTTATATTAAAATTAGTTTAATGGCTGATTCTTTATAAGAAGCTGGGGCGAGTAGCTAGTGAAGTATATAAAACCAGCCAGCAATAAAAATGGCCATACCTAAAATACACGGAAACTAACCGTCATCGATGAATGTTCGAAATTCAAAAATCCACGGGAGATATTACGCTTGACATAAAATCTGCATAAACTTTTAGTTTGATGTTTATGACAAAGATAAAGTGGTTATCTGTGCATTTGAAATGTTTTACGAGAAGATTCGCCTTTTATTATCAACCATAACTTTATTCTAACGCAGTTTTTATGAATAATGGTGGTTGTGTGCTTTTAAGTACATTTTTATGTTAATATTCTGCATCTAAGTCTGTAGCAACAGTTTGCCTTAGTTCCTTTATTGTTGTTATACATAAAATTATAAGTAAAACAATATTATACGAAACTTAATGTTAACAGTGAAACAAATATACAATTCTAATAACTCGAATAATGTTGATGAAAGGGCGCGTTCATACTTCAAATTCTTGATTAAAAATCCATCTATTATATTGAATACGGATTTTTTTTTAGACTAGTCTAATACTGTTGGCCGCAGCTGGTCATTACAGCTTCACCGTATGATAGGGGGCGAGTGCAGATGGCACTCCAAACCTGCAGAAGGACTTATGGAGCCGCTGAAGGTCAACTCTCGTCTGACGGATACGACTTTAGTCTGAAGGCACCGCTAGGAGTTCGATCTTGGCTCAGGTCGTCGTAATTTTGATCCCCGTTTGAATTGGACGGGGGATCGATCGGAGGCCTAGGAATTTTACAAATATTTTCGCTCACTAATTTGTTTGCTACATGGTCGACTGGGAGAAAATGCCTTATGCTGTTAAGTCAGCCATATGTACCTTTATTTTTTTGTATTTGTGCATTAAGTTTTAATAAATAAATATTTATTTTTATATTTTAAATATAATGTAGTCACATCCTAAGGCTTGTGATGAGTTTTATTAATCTAAATAACTTTTTCCAGAAGCAATTTTAAAAATAGTAAATATTATTCAAAATCATAATATATTTTGTATTTTCACTTGTCCTTAGTCACGTGATCAATCATTTCATCATCAATTTAGTCATCAACAATGGCTTTTTTATGCTATTATTTGGTGTCGGCGAAGTATATCATCTTATATGATCATCTTCTTCCATTGATCAAATTATTATGAAAAGTGAATTGATTTTTTCAGATTTCAAATTTATTTCTTGGATAAAGGAGTGCAGTATCACTTGTATTCGACCCTTTAAAAGTAAATTCCAATTCGGTCTATTCCAAATTAAAAAACAATATATAGATAATAAATTGTTTATGAGTTTCTTATCCCTTATTACTAATAATTTGTTATCTTTGCAATATCCTTCTAGTGCAATAAAGTTCAATAATTATCTATATATATATAATAATATATAAAATTGGAGTGTCTGTTCGTAATATTGAAATAACCGTTTGTTACTACATGCATATGAATATAAATACGGTACATACACCAAAATAACATTTTATAGAATTTTTGTCTGTCTGTTTTTTCCGGCTAATGCCTAGACCGATTTTGTCGGGACGTTTTTTGGCAGGTAGCTGATATAATAAGGAGTAACTTAGGCTACTTTTATTTTAGAAATATAAAGTTAAATTCAACGCGGACGAATTCGCGGGAACAGCTTGTTATAAATAAATAATACATACCAATACATCATTATTTAAATATAGTACCAACAAGAGACCAGAATATAAATAACATAACATCACAGTTGACCGTATTAATCGACAAATCAATACTTTTATGAATAGGCCGAGCAAAAAAATCAGATTCAACCCAGTTCCATTTCCAATGGGTCCTCGTTCCACCGAATATTTAGAAGAGCATTACAATGTAATGTCACCTCATTAGGATGGGGGGGACGAAAATTATTTGTTTCGTACCCGAAGTGAAACGGCGCGAAAAACCGTTCAAGTCATTGACCTCGTTTCGTCTGATTTTCAATACGATAATACTGAACAATCGTAACAATATACGTAGCTGGATGGCTTCTTATGTTGTCATATGCTATATTTGAAGAGATCTCTTTCTGATATAAACCTACACTTGCTCACATACTTGGATAACAATATTTTATTAGAAATGTAAATACAATAATATTTAATAATAAATTTAATGAATGTTTTTCTATATAACACGGATAAAAACAATAAGCGTAAGCTTCGCGTTTAGTATACATTATTCAAATAGTTATTGAGACTGAAAACCCATTATAAACCTAGTAACGATAAAAAAAAATAATATATTTTTTGACATTGGAATTTTATACAATTCCCCAAATGAACCAGTCCAATAAATATATGTTATTTTTTTTACCAAAAACTAATGTTTTAACACTTAGAAACTATGTCTTTGTTATTAGCATAAATACATTCATATAACTCAAAAATATGAACCAAAAGTATAAATATATACCTACAAATAAACTATACACAATATTACTGAATAAGCTGATGTAGAAATCATATGCTTAACAGGACAGACCCTCTGACCTTACAGACGGACGAATGGCAACGGACATAGGCAATTTTTATCTCTAAAACTAAACTCTAGAATTCCGTGTAATAAGGAATGGTTTATGCAGATGAAGTCGCGTGTAACAGCTAGTATTATAGAATCAAAAATCATTCACAGCATGGTTACTCCTTTACACATTTCTCTGAACAAACAAACACAATTCAATTACCAACATTCAATTACCTACATCCACAATGATACGACAAGTGCTTTTTGTGTTAACAATCTGTATAATATTTCTAGAAATACAAAGAACAAACTCATACAAAACTTTTAAGGATTTGAAAAAGCGATACAAGAAAATTGAGAATGACGATTTCACTGCGTCCGACGTTCTGGTTGGGAAAGCAATGGATTTCATTTACTCAAACAAAACTATTATGAGTCTAATAGCCAGAGAATTGTGGAATGTTGGCTCAAAGGCTATTGATAGAATTGTTGAAATGAAAGGTAAGTTTATAAAAGAAACTTCAAATGAAACTGTATAATGTGCAGAACTTGTTAAATTGTGGAATGTTGGCTCAAAGGCTATTTATAGAATTGTTGAAATGAAAGGTAAGTTTATGAAAGAAACTTCAAATGAAATTGTATAATGTGTAGAACTTGTTAAATTGTGGAATGTTGGCTCAAAGGCTATTGATAGAATTGTTGAAATGAAAGGTAATTTTAAGAAAGAAACTTCAAATGAAATGTATAATGTGCAGAACTTGTTATTTTATTGATTAATTAACATTATACATATAAATAAAATCGGAGTGTCTGTTTGTAATATTGAAATAACCGTTTTTTACTACGTGCATACGAATATAAATACGGTACATACACCAAAGCTACTCGCCCCGGCTTCGAACGGGTGTACATGTATTATATATAAAAAATTTCCACACGAATTACTTCATCTATTAAAAAGAATCCCCTTCAAAATCCGTTGCGTAGTATTAAACATTTAAGCATACATAGGGACGGACAGACAGCAACAGCGACTTTGTTTTATACTATGTAATGATTATTAAGAATAAGATATATAAATAGAATATACTTTATTTGCAATATACAGTAAGTTAACACACATTATTATAATGTATTAAATTATACATACGAATTTTGCATATAGGTAATTAATTTTAAATGAATACTAGTTGACCCGGTAAATGTTATTTTGCCATATAAAATAAAATACTAATATAGCTATAAAAATAGGGGTTGGTGGTGATTACACTATGATATACATATATATAATAAATTAAATTAATTATCAGTTAAAATACAATGCCTTCTATGGGAATAATATTGTCATATATAAATTTATATATTAATATTAATAGACTAGTCTTACTAATATAATATAAACTCGAAAGTATGTGAGTATGGATGGATGTTTGTTACTCTTTGACGCGAAAACTACTGAACGGATTTAGATGAAACTTTACAGTATTGTAGCTTATATATTAGAATAACACATAGACTATAATTTAAAAAGATATTGTGGAAATTGGGCGAAATATAATGATAAATGTCGAGTCAGACTATCACAGGTCTAGCTGACCTTCACATCTTCGCCTGAGACTCATATTTTTGTACCTCTTCTCAAATAACAAGATATAAATTATTGGCGACTCTTTATTTATAATTTTATTCGTATTTTTCAGGTCCTGACCGCAAGAGTTGAAATAAGAAGAAATAATATAGTAACTTAATACACAAAAACTATAAAAAAGTAAATAAAAACTGTTTTCCATAAAATTATTTTGCTTTATTTCAATTATTATGATTCACCACGCCGCCTTACAGGTAATAGGCGCGGATTCTATTCCTGGTATAATACAAACATTTTTTTCATTAGTACCTAGCAATCTGCGTGATTTCTACATTAAAAATATTAATTAGTTATTTAATTATTTTATCAGTTGTCTAATGCCCATAGTATAAGCTCTACTCTGCAAAACACATATAGACTAAGGGCGAAAAACTAGACTCCAAAACCTGTAGCTTCCACTAAGGACATAAAATTAATCACTGTAAAATAGGAAATACAAACCTACAGTACAAGCTACTAGTCTAGATTAAATGAACACAGAATTGACCTAGTCGCATAACTGCAGGGATCAGGGAGTCTAAAATTTTCTCGACTCAAAAGATGTGACATCCAGAGACTAGTAGAAAGATTCGAAGACAGAGTCTGAGAGCTGACTCATTGAACCAGCCTAATGAATTTAAAGCAATACAGATTTAAGAGAGAAAAAAAAAATTAAATTTTTAAAAAATGCCAATAAGCAGATTTAAAAAAAAAATATCTCTGGAAATTTACAAACTGTTAAGTTGCGTCAAAATCCATTCAGTAGTTTTTGCTAGAAAGAGTAACAAACATCTATCTATTCATTCATATTCACAATATTAGTAATATATATACATAATTACTGTTTAATTTTTATAGCTATTATCTACAAGTTTATGAGTTAGCGTGCTATATGTACGTAATGCCTTTTGCAAAACAAGCTTGTATAAATCCAAATTTATTATACTCCACGTCCGAAACACATTTCGAATCCGGAAAGCGAAGATAAAAAGTCGTTGTATCCGGGCCTAGAGATAATTTCCATAATGTTTTATGAAAAATGCATGGCTGCTTAATTACTAAAGAAATATTATAAAAATATAATACTTTTATAAATTACGAAAATAAGAAAGTATGTAGTACTTCTAATGAAGAGAAATAAGTTGATAATTTAAATTTAAAAATAGAATGAAATAGAATTATTCCTTATTTAAATTAATAGATATATAAGAAATTTTTGAACGGTTGTTGTTTGTCATTCCATTGCCATTTTCGAAATTCAAATTAGTACAAAAAATTACGCAATGGCCAGTGTCAATATAACTTTCTAAAAGCGATAATTAAAGTCAAGGTATTCGATATTCAAATATAAATTTAATAATAGCAAAATTTTGCAGTAGTGTTACGTCATTAGATTACTTTTGCAAACTTCTTAGTAACGTTATAAACAACCATTCATACATCTTATAACACAAAGCTGTAATTTTTTCTTCCGCTTTAAACAACAACATTTAGAACAATGAGTACATCTATTCGTCCGTAATATCGTATTCATTACAAGAACCTTATAAATCAGATCTAAACGACATGTCACTGAGGATAAACATCTTGGAATCCAAGGATTTCATACTCATTATGATTATTTTAGTTATATTTACACTAAAAGGTGATACAAGAAAGATTCGTTTAAAAGAGGATAAAAAAAGCGAGCCGAGAGATTATAGACCTTCTAAATGGGTTTCCAACGCTGCAATGGACGTATGGTATGGAAATAAAAGTATGGTGGATGTTTTCTCGAGAGAATTCAATGATGTTATAGCACGGATAGCTATGAGACCGGGTAAGTTATTTTCTAAATTCAAAATGTCAATTTTAAGTTTCGAAATTTAAAAAGATAAAATTGCGTTCTAAATTTAATATTTTTCAGTGAGTTTGTTTTAAACTGTCAATATACAACCACCAGTATAAGAGGGCTACAAAAAAAGTTTTGGTAAAAAGTTTTTACTATGACAGAGAAATGTGTTGTCTTTACTATTTATATAGGACTAAACCTGTTCAAACGGGATAAAATCGGAATAGCTAGCTAATTTCCAAATAATTTAATTCTTACAGTACGATCTATTCAGGACATTGAAGGTAACCAACATTTCAATGGCAGTAGAGAGAATATGGAAGAAGAAACAAGAAAAATATTGATTGAACTCGCAAATAAAACTATATATAATATAATCAACAATAGGAAGTAAAATAGTGAAAATGATGAATTTGGAAATATAGACCGTATTATTTTTTAATATGCATAGTAATATTATTTTTTACTTCAACTTATGTGAAATATCTAATGTACTGTATATTACCAAATATTTATAAATCGATATTAATATTAGCTTCGTATAGATTATCTTATCTTACACCACAGATGAACAATTTAGTCTCTCATAGTTTAGCTTTCGTCTAAAAAATATATATATACATACACATATTCTGTCAATCGTAATATAAATACGACGGCAAAGAAAAAAAATATATACTAATCAATACGAAGCAATCTCACATACTTTATAAATATCTAATTTCAAAGGAGTTCAGCAAACCTCTAATGAAGGAAATCTCAGAGCCACTTTTCCCTTCAAAGAGATTACAATTTCTAAAGATGAGTCAGTATTTCTTAGTAAGAATGGTGTATCGGAAGCCATAGATTGTTCCTCTTTGGCAACTAATAAATAATTTTCGCGTCCCCATCTTATGAGGGTTGGCTCCTTTGATGTATAAAAAGCCACTTCATAAGTGTGCACCACTCAAACCACATGATTAGAAGGCAGTTAGGGTGTGAATAAGGGTTGCCGATGGGGGTTGTGGGAGAAATAGAATAGGAGATGAAAATAAAATGATGTTAGGTTTAGATCGCTCGTCTTAAATGCGAGTATGCGGGCGCTAATGCTATCATTTCAGAAAAGAAATTGCATTTTTAAACATTATTGAAGACCGATTTAGAAAATTTGAATTTAAAATAGCAATATTTTTCTTTTAATGCTCCCATTAATTTCTGTTATTACAATGTTTGCGATATTTAAAATATCAAGTATTTTCTAATAAATATTCTATAATAATATTTTATAAAGATTTACGGTGGCTCGCCCAGTCATTTTCTTTCTTTATGAATTATATTTTATGCTCTGATAACGTTTGATGATTGATAATGCTTTCTTATACGTGAAAGGATTTTTAAATTAATCAACATTTTTTTTAGTTTAACTGTTACAAGCAAACATTTAAAAAATCAAGTCTTTCCTGTTTATAGTATTTGTATGGACACGTGCTGAGTTTTTATTTTTATAATGTTTTTAATGAGAATGGCCTTCGTTAGGAGTATTTAGGGTTCTGGAGTGCAATGGATTGATGATGATGACGTTTCTACGTTTTATTTCTAGTTTACAGTAAAGTCAATTACGCAAATGTATGTATGTATGTAACTCATGCAGAAAATACCTTGCCGATTCATAAAGTTCAACCAATCATAAATTCTTATCTGAATGAAACTATTACCACGATAAAAACGAAAATAAACATTCAAAACGCGCCTGATTCAACCATAGAGCACGCTTCAGATATCAAAGACAACGAGGGTATAAACCAAAACGTTCGCAGTACCTCCAGCTTTGTTTTCAAGTGTGCTCATTAAGGTCCTACCCTCTTTGCGAAAAATCCCATTCGAAATGCTGACGAGCACTCGAAAGCGGGTTCAAATAAAACCGAATTCACAAGCACCGCAATTAATTCTTCTACTAGTAGAATATTTTATCTGAAATCGCGGTTCCCAAAATACATTCGTCATTATTATTTAATTTTATAAATATCCCTAAAGCCTCTAAACACGTGACACGATGTTCAGAAGTTTTTTATTAGCATAAAATTAAGGTTTAATTTATATGGTTTCCAAAACAAAGTTTCCTCAGATTTTGCGATAAAACAGTTGGTTGTCAGCCTTCTTACAGATTTTGTTACGTTTCTATATATATTTTTATAATTCTACTTATTATAGAAGTAACAATCAAAACCATACTATTGTCATGTTATGTATCTAGAAAAGTGAAAATCATTAAGTAATCTAGGTCATATTTTGAAAACCATAGAGTGCAAATTCGAACTCAGTTCTGTGCTGTGTACAATAGTTTTAACTTTATTTTATTGTTATTTTGCTATCATTCTAGGTATATAACACCTGTGTCTGATACGGCTTTGTGGACACACAGGCGAATATTTTGGCGAACTTCGTATATGTTTTATTAACAGTAATATAAATAGAATAGATAATATTAGTCGGATGTGACAAGAGACTTGGCATGTCCTGTCCTCGGTACTAATCACCAGCTTAAGCTGTGAAAAACAGATTATAATCACAGGACAATTCACACAGCGCCATCTAGCCCCAAGTTAAGCTAGCTAGAGCTTGTGTTATTGCTAGACAACTGATACAAATACATAGATTTTTTTTTCGTAAAAACATACATAGTATACTTAGAAAACACGCAGACTGATACTAACAATCATACTAATGAATACAAATATTTGTGCCGTGCGTGGAATCGAACCCGCGACCATCGCACGTAAAGCGGTGTGCTAGATTGCTAGACCACCGAGGCCGTCTTATATATTAAATACACAATATTATTTATTTAGTTAGAAAAGTCAAGTCAATGTAGGAACACGTTAAATTATTAAGTTTTGAAAAATTTTCGTGTTTTATGTAAATAAATAATTTATTCTGACAAAGAAATATTATATTTATTTATTGTTAAACTGATTGACTTTATAAGTAAACATGCTTAGGTTAACTTGTTTTAGTCATTTAAGCTTTACTTAAAAGCTTAAATGACTTACATTATTATAATATTTATTACCATGTATTTAATTGTACACACAGGTAAATATTGTATTAACACTTTTAATTTAAGCTGCATTATGATATAGATTCATAAAATTAATTTATACTCTTAGGTTTAGCATACCGCCTCACTTTATGTTGGTCGCGGGTTCGATAGCTCACACCATACAACAATTGTAATCATGGGTATGATTGTTTGCATAGTCCAGATATCCTCTATATAGTAATAGAAAAATAAAATATTTAAGTATTTTT